GCGCCCATGGCCGCCGAGCGCGCCGTGGCCTTCATGGACCAGGTGCGCGCCTTCCAGGAGCAGGTGGACAAGCTGGGCCGCCTGCAGGTGGACTCGGCCGAGTACGGCTGCCTCAAGGCCATCGCGCTCTTCACGCCCGGTGAGCGGGGCGCGGGAGGGGAGGGGGGAGGGAGCCCCGGCCCGCCCCCGGCGCCCCGCCCCCCGGACGAGGCCTCCCCGTCCTTTCCGGGGATTCCCTCGACCCGCGCCCGTCCCTCCGGTGCTCAGCCCCTCCCGAGCCGCACGGCCCCGCCCCTTCCCCGGCTCACGCATCCCCACGTGTGCCGGCCCCGCCCCCAGCCGCAGCCCCGCCCCCGTGTGTCAACGCCCCGCCCCCTGACCGCAGCCCCGCCCCCGCAGACGCCTGCGGCCTGTCGGACCCCGCGCACGTGGAGAGCCTGCAGGAGAAGGCGCAGGTGGCGCTGACCGAGTACGTGCGCGCCCAGTACCCGTCCCAGCCGCAGCGCTTCGGGCGGCTGCTGCTGCGCCTGCCGGCCCTGCGCGCCGTGCCCGCCGCGCTCATCTCGCAGCTCTTCTTCATGCGCCTGGTGGGCAAGACGCCCATCGAGACGCTCATCCGGGACATGCTGCTGTCGGGCAGCACCTTCAGCTGGCCCTACGGCGCGGGCTCGGCGCAGTGACGCGCCGCCCGGACTCGTTTTCTAAGGACTGTGAAGTGTTTGTCTTTTCTGTTTTCTAAATGATCTCCAAACCAAAAAGCCGGGCGTGGCCCCGGCGCCCGGACCCGGGACCCCGGGGCGGATCAAGCCAATAATAAAGCGTTTCCTACCCGCGCCGCCCGCTCGCCGGCCTCCTTGGCGCCGGGCCGCGTCGCGTCGCCCGCGGGACCGCTCCTCAGAACCGGGGGTTTCCCGTTCAGCGCGGGCACGGAGCCGTCGGGAGCCCGGCCCCGTTACTCCATGGAGGTACCGGGGTTTGAACTCCGGGCCTCGAACTTGCCAGGCAAGGACTCGACCCCGAGCTTTGGGATGGGCTGTGCGTCCCGGCGGCCCCGGCGCCCCTCCGGGCTCCTGGCGGTCACCGAGGTCGGTCTCGGGGACGTTCCTGCCCGGCTGGCTTTGAGCCGCGACCCTCAGATCTCAGCCTCCTGCGCAGCCCCGGGCCTGTCGCCCTCAGCCCCCCCCAGGTCTGGGTCACCAGCGTGCGCCCCGCCCCCACGACCCCGGGCCTGGGCCGGGGTCGCCGCCCCGTCCGACCTGGGAAAGAACTGCGCGCAGCGGGAGGCGAGCCCGGGGCTCCATGTTTATTCCCTCCGGGTGATTGAACCGGAGTCCGCGGGGTGGACGGAGGCCCGGGGTCGGGGTCGGGGCGCGGGCGACCCCAGGCCGCCGGCGGTCAGAAGTACACGGAGGCCTCGCTGCCCTCCTGGTCGTCGAATTTCTGGATCTGGGCCTTGAGGTGCCTCAGTTTCCCCTTCAGGTAGCGACAGCGAGCCTGCTTATCCAGGAAGCCAGGGTCCTGCGGGGCGAGACCGGGAGGTGCTGGCAGCGGCGCCCCCGACGCGCCGGGGCCCAGCCACGACGGCGGCCGGACTCACCGTCCGCTTCTTCTCGAACTCTCTCCAGACTCGGGCCGCCACCTGGGCCTCCTCCTGCAAGAGGGGCGGAGTGGCAGCGAGGGGCGAGGCGGGG